ATTATAATTAATTATTAAATATTTATATTCTTCAATATTAATAATATTATAAAATAAAATAAATCTAGAAACCACCCCCAACGCTAAATCATTTCCATCCTTTTTCTTTCTCTTATTTTTCCATCCTATCCTCCGTTTTTCCTCTCCGGTTGCCAAACCACTACGAAGCGGCACCGTTTTCTCCGAGAAAGTCGAGCACAAAGTCGCTTTGTTGGAGAGAGCGACACTCGCAGTTGTGAACGCACTTCACAGCGCGCTTCACAGCGATGCTCAGTGCCTCTACGAAGTGCCTTTCACGTTGTCCTCCAGCTCGAGGTGATCTACTCGGCACAGGCGTGTATCGAGACCTATTGTTTTCGAGTCCCTTCTTCCCCGCTGCAGGAGCTAGTCTATTTGGCTGGCGGAGGTGGGACAACATATGATGGTTTTTGGGAGTGGTTTCGAGTCGATCTTGCAGTCGAAGTTTTTGGTGGTTTTCTTGGAGGTTTGCAAATGGTGATACTGGTGATAGTGCAGGTGGTGGTAAAGATATTCTGATCTATGGGTAGTGGGTATCTGATGTGCAGCAATCTCAGGGTTTTGGGTGGTTTTTGTTGGTTGTGCAGGTGGAGATGCTAGCGACAGCGATGAGTCTGGCTACGGTTGTGACTGTGAGGATGGTGGTGGTAGGGTCTCCAGGGACCTTGGTGGTGGGGAGACATTTTGCTGGTTATTGGTGTTGCTGTGATGTAGTTTGAGTTCTCAATTTTCTACTAGTGGTCTGAGATGGAGGAGATATTTACTAGACCTGCATTTTTCCACATATTGGATATTGAAAATCCCCCACCCCTGATTTTTGGGGCATCTCTGCCAAATGTTTATTTTAGTTTAGTTTGCAAAATATGATGGATTTCTACTGTATCTGAAGAGCTTATGAGTGGAATTTAATTTGCTAGGATTAATTATTTTTTTCCCTGTTTAGATTCATCAATGTCAATTGTAACACGTTCTACCCTGCACTGAAGCTTTGATCAAAGCAAGCTAAGTTGTATATTATGTATACTATGAGTGATGAAAATCCTTTGAAATGTGGTGGTGGTGGAGGTGTAGCCGGCGCCGCTGCAGAGTAAGAAGGCCGCAACTGCAGTTGGTGGTGTCGGCGAACCTTTTTTGATCTATGACCAGATCGCGATTTGACTACCAAGTAGTTTGTTGTGACTGAATGTGACCTTTTGTGACCGATTGTGACGGGTGAATTGTGACTCGTTGTGAATGATTGTGCCCTTTTGTGATCGATTTGTGACTTAGGGTGACCAATTGTGACAAAAAAATTCTGGAAAAATTTGGAAGTTAGCCGCCGGAATGAGCGTCGGGGTGATCGGCGGAATAGCCGTCAGAGTGATCGCCGGAGAGTCACCGAGCGGTAACCGGAGTAATAGTCGGAACTGTAACGACCCGGGTCTCACTTAACGGGTTGTCCCGGCTGTTAGGTTGACGACGTACTGTCTTCACTGTACCAACATGGATCTTTTCAGCATGTTTTGTCCTCACTTGCACGCTCCCCAAGAAAACTTCCCAGGGGGTCACCCATCATTGTATTGCTCCAAGCCAAGCACGCTTAACTGTAGAGTTTCTAACTATGGACTTCCGAAAAAGAAGGTGCACCTTGTTAGTATGAGTAGTACCTATCAAATCTTTTAACCTTTCCTGCTCTGGGTATTACAGGAACAGTCGTCGGAGCGTCGCCGGACCATCACAGGAGCAGTACCGGAGATTGAGGGAAGGTGGTGTAGTGAGGTGATGGGCGTAGGTAAGGTGTCATAGGGTGTAAATAATTAATATATATTATATTATAATTTAATATTTAATAAATCTATTTATCACTCGATTTTTGAAATAATTAGACAAACTTGTTAGTTTTGAAAAGTAATTCTTATATGTAGGTTTTGTGTATTGTTCCCTATATTATATTTAGATGAAATTCAATTTTAATTTATAGCATTATCAACAAGAATGCTTTATATAAGTGTTATAAAATGTATAAATTGTTGTAGTGATGTGAGGATTTCTTAATTGGTGACTGACTGTATGTCTACTAAATGAATTAATATGATAGCTAGCTATATTTAATAAGACACAGAATATGTCATATTATGGTAAGTCTTGATATATACATCATAGATATAATATCATTAACTAGTTGATCTCAGATTGTGTAAACTAGTGGATCCACTAAGAAAAGATTTTCCAAGAGATCAAGTATATTACATATTGAGGGAAATGTGCCTAAAAGCCTACTACGTAAGGATCTTTGTAATGATAACCTAACTTTATTGACTAGAGATCCCAAGATCTTAATTCAATGAGACAACAAAGTTATAAAAATTCAATGAACTCTTATGAGTTAACTCTTAGCCATTTCTATGATAAGAAAAGTGCTATTTGCAGAAAATTTTGCATTNCACGCTTAACTGTAGAGTTTCTAACTATGGACTTCCGAAAAAGAAGGTGCACCTTGTTAGTATGAGTAGTACCTATCAAATCTTTTAACCTTTCCTGCTCTGGGTATTACAGGAACAGTCGTCGGAGCGTCGCCGGACCATCACAGGAGCAGTACCGGAGATTGAGGGAAGGTGGTGTAGTGAGGTGATGGGCGTAGGTAAGGTGTCATAGGGTGTAAATAATTAATATATATTATATTATAATTTAATATTTAATAAATCTATTTATCACCCGATTTTTGAAATAATTAGACAAACTTGTTAGTTTTGAAAAGTAATTCTTATATGTAGGTTTTGTGTATTGTTCCCTATCTTATATTTAGATGAAATTCAATTTTAATTTATAGCATTATCAACAAGAATGCTTTATATAAGTGTTATAAAATGTATAAATTGTTGTAGTGATATGAGGATTTCTTAATTGGTGACTGACTGTATGTCTACTAAATGAATTAATATGATAGCTAGCTATATTTAATAAGACACAGAATATGTCATATTATGGTAAGTCTTGATATATACATCATAGATATAATATCATTAACTAGTTGATCTCAGATTGTGTAAACTAGTGGATCCACTAAGAAAAGATTTTCCAAGAGATCAAGTATATTACATATTGAGGGAAATGTGCCTAAAAGCCTACTACGTAAGGATCTTTGTAATGATAACCTAACTTTATTGACTAGAGATCCCAAGATCTTAATTCAATGAGACAACAAAGTTATAAAAATTCAATGAACTCTTATGAGTTAACTCTTAGCCATTTCTATGATAAGAAAAGTGCTATTTGCAGAAAATTTTGCATTAAGTTATACTTTTAATGATTCCTATAACTTAAACAAACCAAGTGGGACAAGATAGATACTCTTAATAGGAGATCACCTATATAAGTGTGAAATATGGCCGTTTCTATGAGATTTTTTCAAGGCTTGAATTCTTTAAAACACTTATGAAACCGAAGAGTTGTTTAGGGTCAAAATGAACACAATAGTGAGAACTTGAAAGTGTTAGAGGGGTTATTGTATGGGTACTATTAACTTGGTTTACGTCAATGGCTGATAGTTCAAGATATTCGCATTCATTGATTAGCAAAGTAAATTCGATAGTATTCCACTACGAAAGATTCAAACCTATAAGGTACCTATCCAGATGAAATAGTTTTTTGCTTGAATTGCATTAATTTTCATTCATGCAGGAATTATTTCAATTTTGTTTCAAAATTGCTTTTGACCAATTTTATATGATTATTTAAGTGAAAATCATTATTTGGTGAACGCAAAATTAAGCCAAATTTAAGCCTCTTAAATACATGACTTATTGAAAAATTATGTAAAATATTATGAAATATTGTAGAACTGTTTGACTTAAAAGGTGTGTCTTTCTATATGAAAGATCATGACTATAGGAATAATTATTTTCCAATAATTGTGTTTCTTCATGTATAGAGATAAATTTCAAGAATTGTGTCTTTTTGTTGGACCGTGTCTTTGGTAGGACTGTAAGCAAAAATTGTCAAACCGGAAAATCGAATCGAAACCGCATTTTAGAAAGCGTTGGTTTGGTGCCAGGTAGACCTAGCGGTGGCAAAAAAGGTCGGAGGCTCAGACAGCCCGGGCTCGGCTCGGAAAAAGCCCGAGCAGGGCCCGGCTCGGGCTCAGGCTCTGTGGAACCGAGCCCGAGCTCGAGTCGAGCCCCACTTTGGGGAGTCAGCTCGAGCTCGGGCTGGCCCGTAGCCCGAGCGAGCCTCCATTAAAAAAAAATTTTTTTTTTAAGGCAGGCTGCCTGCCTTCCTTGTGCAAGCTACAGGCAGCTGCCTGCAGCTTGCACAGCAGCAGCAAGCTGCTGCCTGCAGGCAGTAGCTTACTGCCTTAAGGCAGCAGCAAGCGCTGCTGCTGCCTTTGCAGGATAGCTGCCTGCAAAGGCAGCTAAAGAAAGAAGAACAAAAAAA